CCCGCTCTCCTGCCTGCCCGGCGGCTGCGGGACCCGGGGTGCTCGGTAGCACCGCAGCCGCTGGTGCTGGTGTTAGCGACTTGCGCAGGGCCTGGTTAATCTTCAGCCGCCGTTCTGTGTGGTTTATCGGTGAGCCGGGTGCTCCTCTTCAGGAGTGCCGAGTGCAGGTAGCAGGTCTGGCCTTCGTCAGGGTAATAGATGGTTTCTGATAAGGCACAGTTGAAACTGTTTTTATGTGCTTAAATATCTCCTGCATCGGGATGGTGTGACTTAAGTATGTGCTGTACAACAATACCAGTCTGAATCACAACGTACGTGAAATACAGATGCCATATAGACGTTTATATGAGAATAACCAGTGACGTGTCATGACTGCTTAGCTGTCTGCAGGGTTGTTTTTCTCCCCCACTTATTTAATAAAATCTGTGCTCATATCAACAATTGCTGTGATCCCTGAGGACAACATACAGCTTGTGTAATTCACTCAAATTTATAACCTTTCTAGATCTCTTTTTCCCTGTGAGTGAAGGTGTTTGTTGTCCCAAGAACTGCAAGATTTGAAGGGTCCTTTCACCCTATAACTTGTAATGGATAGGCTATTATTATTCCTTGTCACCTTATTTAAGAATTCCTTCACTACATTTTCAGTGTTCTGCTGAAATTATTATGGAGGGACGCTGTGCCTGCACCTCTGTGGTTTGGTTTGTGAAGCAAAAATTGCTCAGTGAGTCCACGATCACCAACACAGAACAAGTAGTGTGTTAATAATACTACCATAGCACGGGAGGGTTTGGCCAATGTGAAGAACAAAGGGCAGCCCTGAAACCACTTACTAGCAATGCTGCTTCTGGAAACTATGGGTGGTGAGCCACTACTCTTATAGGACTTTCTGAGTTTAAACTTTGACCTTCTGCTTTTCACCACTCTTGCTTCTATTGTAAAACTTCTCCCAGCAGTTATCATTTATGGCTCAGCTTAGTTCCAAGTTTCTATTTACAGGGAATGATTTTAGAAGCTATTTTTACTTCTCTTTATTAGAAAACTTTCTTCTTGTCTTTTAGCACTGTACTTGTAAGAAATGGCTAGTTAATTAACTACAGCCTGTATGTAATAAAAATATAAGAATATCACTGCCTGTAAAAGTAAGTTAGAAACATACTGACCCCAGCCTTTCAAACTTAGCATTAAGCTTGTATTTGCAAATTTTAGGGAAGATGATTAAATTTGGTATTTGACGTGGAATCAAAGAGATAATAATATTTATTTGCTTGTTCTTGTTTACTCTTGAAATATTTCAAGTTAATAGAAATTTTAAGTTACAAACTTTTTAAAGCTAACAATTTTGATTGAGATAGCAGTTGAACCACCATTTAGGTGAAGTAGTGACTTCTTTAGTCTATCAGTCTGGGGGATATTGTTGATTGTTTTCTTTGTTAATTTTTTCTTGCTATTCCAGCAAGCTGGGTTTGACTTTTTACAGATTTGAATCAATCTTATACATTTTATAATGGCCTTTTATTAATGTACCTGTGAGGACCTTTGTACATGTTCAGGCAATTACAATTTGCTATTCTGTCTGATTTGTACAGTCTATACCTCCGTTG